GTTAAAAATCTGATTTTGTTACACATGGTGGAAAGAATATACACAACCTTCATTGTGTAGCTTTGCGCTTAACAACCAAAACCAATATTTTAAAACTCGATTTTAGCTATTTTTAATTTAAGTACACGAGATACCTCATCTGCATAAAACACAATTATCTTTTACGTACAATGTTTTCAGTAAACTAAAAAAATAAGTCCTAGCACTGAAGAGACTGGAAGTTCTTTTTATAAACAGTATTTTCTTAGAAAGATGTACGTGTTTCAGTTATTGTATAGTTGTTATAAGCATATAATTGCTTTTCAATGAGTTTTAAATAAAACACACTGTATTGTTTTTTAAAGTTGTATGTATTGCAAAAGAGGGCGCTTCAGTGCTGTTTTCTTCCCGATTAAGACCTAGGCTTAGAGATGTAACGTCGTTTCACTATCAAAAGCAAATTTTCAAACAACGATTTATAAATGTATTGGTTTACTATTGGACCAACACACTACACAAAATTAACATCATTAACGTGAGGCTCCACTGGCGTAAAAAATTTGAAGAAGACAGAAATGTGTATTATATTAAATAATAAACTACTTTTAGTTAAGAAAGGACTTGTATCACTGAAGTTTCTCGGAAAGAATGTCTGCGGCAAATTAACAAACGAACAGAGACGTAACAATAATATTAGCATAATATGCTTCCACTCTCAAGCGTCGTCCACTCTTGCTCTCCAGGAGGTACAGTTTATGAAAATTTTCATATCCAAATAAAATATTGAAAAACATGAAATAATCGTACATAACAAATATTCCTCCTTTTTAAAAATAAAAATAGAAAGAAAACGATTTCCTATTAAGACCAACCCCTTTTTACTGTTGGTTCATTCAAATACACCTCCAGTGGCACAGAAGTATGTCTGCGGACTTATGCCGCTAGGAAACCGGGTTGTGTAGATTGTGGCTTAATAACAAACAACAGATGCTACATATGACTCTTCATTCCATCACCTACCTTCTTCAGAGGTGTTGGGTGTTAGACGAAGTGGTGTCATGTAGGAGTTTAGTGATCTTTAAGAGGTGCTACATGTGATATTTCACTTACCCACCTAGTTTCTCCAGAGGTATTGGATGATCTTTAAGGGGGGTGTATGTGGTACTTCATGACCATAACCTACCTTCTAGGGTGGTAGTTGTTGGTTGATGTGATATCCTATGGGAGTTAATTGACTTTCAAGGGGTGCTGTGTGTGGTAGCTTCCGTTTTTTTAGATCCAAGGTTCTTCCAAGATGTTGATTGTGGTATGTCTGTAGCTTTGCTTATTAATTTTCCAATTCCCAATAAAAAATCAGTTTAAAGTGTTTTCATTTATATTATTATTTTTTACGTATTAGAATTTCGAATAGTCCGAAGCCGAGTTAAATAATTTAAATTTAGTAGTTAAATTGTACTTTGGATTTAG